GCCCGATCTACGCAGGACCTCGGGGGCCCCATCGGGCGCATCGTCGTCCTCCGCTCGCACGGCGCGCTCCAACGCATTGAGTTTCCGCAGCAATGAGTTATGCGCCAACAGTGGCCCCAGATGCGCTGCTCTCCCTGAACGCTGCTGCCTGGGAAATCGAGGCCAGTGTAAGAAGGCTGTTTGTCGCGCATGTTCGGTCAGCTGCCGCCGCCGCAACTTGATGTTTCTCTGTCCGGACTGTCTCCCCCTTTTCGCGCGTGATTGCGCGGCGCTGCGAAGCCTCGAATGGGGGCGGGCCGAAGAGAGAAGGCCGGGGGCAATGGCCGAAGAAAAGGACTGGGAGACGGCGCAAATGAGAGACCAGATCGTGCGAACCGAGGTTTAACAGCGCGCAGCTGCCCGCGTCCAGGCCGAGAACGACCGCTTCACGATGATTCGCGCCAGGGGGCAGACTGAGGAAAGGCAGCGGGCGGCCGCGTCAGAGCAGGCGATGCGAGCGTCAGCAGAGCTCCGGGAGCTGCCAGCAAGGTAGGCCTCGGCAGCCGCCGAGAAGCGTGCTCGAGCCCTCGAGCAGAGTGTCGCAGACAATTCCAAGCGCGTCGTCCGGGGGGCTGGAGAGACCTAGATGGCGACGAAGGCCGGAGTCGCTGAACAGCACGGGGCGGCTTGGGCACGTAATGCCCCCCTGGAGGCGGAGGCAAGTGCAGCGGCTCAAGGTTCAGGAGGCGGTTCAAGTACAGGCGCATGCCATTGCCCAAGCGGCGAGCGCGAACTGCGTTCGCGTTGCCGCTGAAGGTCGCGACGCGCTGGACAGGACTCAGCGGAGAGAACAGCAAGCAAATGGCGAGGCGAACATCACGGCTCGGAATACCGAGATAAGGGCATCGCAGTCCATGGAGAGCTCGGAGGCGCGGCGTGAACGATTGCGCCGGCAGCGTGTCGGCGTTCGCGCACGACAGCCGTAGGAGAAGCAACCTGCCCAGATGAGCCATGCAGCGGCTAAGATCGTCGCGGCCAACGTGGCCCCTCCGCGGGCGGAGGCAGAGGTGCCCCGGCCGGCGACGCAAGCGCCGCGCCTGGGTGGGCGATTGGTGTGTCTCTTGCGACAGAGTTGCGTGCCATGACTGCGCGCGGTGCGCGAGGTCATTTCGCGGTGTTCACGGAGATGCGACTGGGAAGACATGCGCCGCGCGCGCCAAATGGCTCGGCGGAGATGGACTGGGAAGCAGAGAAAGCGCGAGAGAGAAGAGGAAGAGGGGCGCGAAGCGAGAAGGAAACTCGAGGAACGGAACGCCTCCCAATCCGCGCCTGGAGCGGGGCCCCGCGATCGCCCGCGGCCTCCCGGGGCTTCTCGCGACTACGTCGCGAGCGCCGCGGAATGCGCGGACGAGCAGAAAGGCGATGACGACGATGATAAGGATGACGACTGGGGCCAGGGCCCCGGCGACCCCGACTCAGAGGGCGGCGAAGACGACCCGTCCGACGCGGAAGACAGTGACGAAGGAGACCTTTCGGCGCGGCCGATGCGATGGGCCACCGGGAGGTCCGCTCCACGGCGGTGACGGCGGCGGTGCCCCCCCGGACGGAGCGCCGGGCGCTGCTGCCTACCGGGGCGACGCCGGCAAAACGGAGAAGGTAAATATCGAGCCCAATCCCCGACGCAGCCAGCCATGGAAAGTGGGGCAGAGGCGCGGCCCCCGACGTCGCATCGTGCCCCCCCAACTGGCAGCAGGCCGCAGATTGAATCCTGGAAGCGCTCAATATCCAGAGGGTCAAGGCCAAGGCGTTGCAGGGCTCTGGAAACTTCGGCTGGCTTGACCTAATGACCGCTCCTGATGCATCGAGACCCGACGGGCCCGAAGTCGTCGCCTCCACTTCGTCACTTAGCGAGATCGATTTCCTTGGTACCGCCATGCTCAAAAAGAAACAGATGCTGCATGGCCCTGCGGTTCTGAGAACCCTTGCGGTTCTGAGAACCACTGCCGCGTGCGTGTCCGCCCGTGGGGATCATGGTCTGGCGCGCGCGGATCAGGAGTGGATGGAGATTTTAAGATCCGTGGCGCGCTTCCCTGTGGATGAAGATCACGGGCGAGATTGATAATTAAGCGTCGCAAGTCATTCTGCCATCCATCCAGTAACATTTCTGCAAAGAGGTGAACAGTACCCGCGCGCGCCCATGACACTCACAATGTGCGATCACAGCAGCGACAAGTGCGGCAAGTGGATGAAATCGCGCGGGTGGTGTTGGGTTAGATTAGCAGGGGCGCGCAGACGGACCGAGGCTCTCACGGCCGCCCCGCGCAGCGAAGGTAATTCAACGCCCGCAGCCGCTGGGAGGCGCGGGGGCGGCGGAGGCGGCGGCGGCGCGGGCGGCGGTGAGGGCGGAAACGGTGGAGGCAGGGGTTCCCTCTACATGAAGGATGGCCGCCTCAAGAAGTCGGCGGCGTGCATCGGGC